AGTTTATATATTCACTTCTTCAGATATTTAGATATAGTATTTATATATACATGCATGTTTAGATTTGATTTATCTTGTTTAGACAAATCTTTCTCATATATAGATTTGCATATAAAGATTTGCGCGTTTGTTGAGACTTATTGTTCGAAAAATGTTATAAGTAAGGAGTATTTTTAAGAAGTTTGATTTTGAAAATTTCGAAAATGTCAATAGAAACGACTGTGTTACACTGACAAAAGTATGCTTGAATAGGGAGGCCAAGATTTAATCAGGATCGTTGAGCCATTAGTGATTATGATAATTTAAACAAATATGATTCCATGGGTCATTAAATTAACAATAAGCTGCCAACTTTAAGGTAAAACTTTGACAATCATGGAAGAAATGTCTTGTATTATAAAGAATAATGCTTGTCGCATATACATGCACCAAACCCGCTAGTTACACATCTGATGTCCGTCTCCAACACTTTTACAAGGCTGCGAAGAAAAACTTCAGGAGACGTCTTATATTAGATATGTGTTTTAAACACACATTTCTATTTTAAAAAGTATATATGGATATGTCACTGGTACTTTTTTTAAGTTTTATTTAAATCACATTTCTAATAATTTATTATAGAACAGTTTGAATCAAATTCTTAAATTATAGATGTGATGTTTTAAAATATCAATGTTAATCAAAACGATAAAAATTTTTTCAAAATAAAGAACTTTAAATTTATATTATTTTTATATATATTATTTTTCATAAAATTAAATCTTTTTTTTTATAGTTTTTGATGCTACAATGAAGAAGCTAAAAATGTAAAGAACAAATCTCAGTTATTCTCACAAGTGGCCTGTGCTTTTATTTAATTAAATTTCTGAAGGAATTCAAAAATTAAAATTCATATTAAATGAAATTTTTTCTCTACAAACATTTATACATTTAAATGTGTATATATATAATGATAAATTATTAAATGCAACAGCAACTGTTGCATGATGACGATGTTTCAACATTTGTGGCAGTGCAATGCTTTATGAGTGAGCGCGCAATTTCGCATTCAGATTTGAATTTGTAACTGTCAAGTAGCATGAATCGCTCCGTCCGTGTTATTTTATTTCCAACATTGTGTATTTTTAATGTAAGTAAAAATGTTTCTTTATGTAGTGTTTGCTTCTTTTTATTTTGGTTTTAAAAAAATATGCTGAGCATAAAACGGTTTTGATATTCTTATGTACCCTACACGGTCCGCTAGAAGGAGTGTTTGTCTCGTTCAGTCATAGGATTCAATATACTTTATAAGATCTATAGAGTTATTCATATAAAACACTACTTATGGAACAGGATATTATACATACACCTTCAGTGACTTAAATAGTATTCGTATTTTTTTCTTTCAGAGTAGCAAAAAAATACTCGCAACTTACAAAAGACACCATTTGCAGCAACAACAATGCTCTTAAAATCTTCAGAGTTGGGTTTTACTCGCAAAAATTCTTAAGTTTTAAGTTTCAATGCAGCCAAATTCAAAAATCAGTCAATTGTGTATGCTCACTGCAAATATGTTGCAAAATTTTAGTCATCTGTTAAAGTCATTAAAGCATTTCATTTACTAGTAAATTCAAATTATTTTAATAAATAAATTAATTTAAATTTATAAGATAAAAATGCTAATCATTGCCATTCTATTAATAAATAAATGTTTTAACAGCGAAGATATGGTTGGTTGTCATTAGATAGCTCCCATTTACCTCAATTAGCGATTTTTCGCCGTTTTGCTACCACATTCCTCTTAAGAACCCCAAGTATAGAAGATTAGAGACTATGGATTTCTGATAAACTGTCAAAGACGTATCTACCTAAAAACCTATTTCACCTATATCCTATATAAACCTATATCAGCTCCTCTAAATTTAGTGTTCTTAACTAGTTATACACTTTTCAATAATTCTACAAGAAAGTGTAGGGAAACTCATAGGCGTCTAGGACTTGTTAAATTTTTGTACTAATATTAAGAATTAAAAAAAAAAAAGAAATTGTTTTTATTGTGAGATATCATGTCTTTTATATTCTTTTTGCTCTTCTGCGTCAGTGCACTTATGTTTTTGGTCGTCATGTTTTCTGAATTAATTTAATTTAACACTTCAGAGGTTTTGTTTTGCAATATTAAAAATGAGGTAAAGTAAAAATTACACTAAAATGAGTTGAAGTAAAAGATAGAAAGTTGTTTCATTTATAGGGATGAATCTAATTAACAAGTGTTTTTATTACTCACACTTATATCTATGAAAATACAGGTAAGAAATAGTTTCAATCAACTATACAAATTTTAATAGTACCATCTTAATGATGCATTAACTTATATGGTATATATATACATATAATTAAAATTATTATTATTGTTATACACATTATGTAGATGAGTTTTTAAAATATTTAGTTTTTACTTCTCCAATTTGCTTGAAAGATCTAAAGACATGAATTTATACATATATATGTATGCATATACTCGCAATAAATTGCAATGCTTATTATTCCTATTGCTCATTATATAGACCAATAATTATATTTTTTTCAGTAGATGGAAAGCAATGAAAGTCATAGTGTGAGATTTAAACCCAATAAAACAATCTGTTAACCGTGAACGCACAATACCGAAAAGTCATTCCAGTAATCAAGAAATTAAGAAAGCTTAGCACTCAAAAAATTTATGTATTTAAGCTCATTAATAATAAATTAAAGCAGAAAATTAAAAGAGCATATATATT